TAAGCACTATTTATGTGTTTGATGGCTGCCTTCAATTCCCGGTGCCATGTGTTCTTTGATCTGCTTCTTTTCCTTTATTCTTAAGGACTCCAAGTTAGTGCCTATCTTTTGATATATTTAGATACATTCTTCAAATTGTGTTCTGTTCACTTTTAGCGTCTTTTCTTAATCCCCTCAGCTGAAAGCTGGTTGTTCTCTTCCACAGGAGGTTGCTGGTGGTGGTGTCTGGTCAACGAATCTGGAATATCTTGCGTAGACAGCTGTTTATAAATATCTATAGTTCTTTAATAATGGTTGTAGTAGTTCTTCAAGTTTCAGCTCCCTACTTAACTTTGATGTTCTGTGGCGGTTGTTTTGAATTCCGGATTTTCTCCATTTTTTTGAATGCCGCCCTTGGTTTGCCAATCTGCGTTTTCATATCTGCATCAGATCCTTGTTGTTTATCAGTGATGCCATCTCTTTCAGAGCTTTGCTGTTAAGTGTGATTTAGTTGGTGCTCACTGTGTCGTATTTCAGAATCTTGTTTTCTCCTCTGTGAATACTGGAGCCTACTGCTATGGAAGGCTCTACCACATTGACCGTCTTCATCTGCATTTGCTGCTATGTAAAAGATAGCAGGGTTCAGTCATCTACCAAGTCCAAATCGTCCATCTGTGACCAATGTGTAGTATCTATAGTGAAAAACTAATTAACGAATAAATTTGTGACGTAAAAAGTATGAGATATTCTTGGAACTAACTATCTAGGGACCATCCGACGTACTGTATTGTTTCAACCAATCAGTTTAATATATTTATAGATTGTCCCAAAAGTTTCGATATACGATGTGCTTTTATTCATTAGGTCTACTACTCATTCAATCAGTCAATAACAACGTAGGACTTCGTACGTACGTACATCAGTTTGAGTTGCCATACCACATTAGCACATAGATACAATTATCGATTCAAATCCCGTAGTGATAGAGGTAGTAAAGGTTAGGGTTTGAAGATGTTATTCAAGGAGTATAACCCAGTGAAATAAATTTGAAGAGAAAAAATAGGGAAAAGAAGAATACAGAAGATTAGAGTTTGAGAGAACACAAAGAGTGGATGCACCTGCGCCATTGCAAACGATTTTGAGCCATGTCATTCAAGGTCTCTGACCATCGGTTGCTATCATCTCGCAGATTTCAACCAGGTAGTCTACACCTACCAACATGACTCAGTCCACTTGTTGGTGACTTCATGGATTTGTGCCATGTTTTGGTCTGGTCGCCTCTATCTTTTTTCCAACCTACTCCTACACTATAAAACATGGCATTGGGCATACATAACACATGTCCCAGCTATCTCAACCGATGAAGTTTCACTACTTCATCAATTGATTTGCCATCCTTACCTAGTACTGTGGTGTGTGCTACTTATGTAGACATAAGTAGTATATGACGTGAGCACTGAACAGAATGTCTGGCGGCAGAGAGATAACAAGATCGAACAATAAAGAATGAAGACAGAAGGCAATTTGTATGAAAATGCAAGAACAAGGGGATTCTGAGTGATTTGAGATAATTGATGAACAATTTGCAAATTACCGATTCAATATATGGTCGTTTGATTTTACTAGGTAGCTCTGTAATTTGTTGTTAAACACATTGGATTGTCCCCACTGGTGTTTTGTTCACTACAGTACCCGTTTCCTAACAACTTCATTACTTACTCTGTAGTCCCAGGATATACGAGCAATTCTTCGAAGACACCCCTATTCATTAGCATAAAATCAATCGAGTTTTTAATTGCCTATATTTTAGTAGCAATAATAATGTGTTTAGTGCAGTATGAAATTCTCAATACACATCATCAATAAAAATTGCATATAAAGAATGTTTGGTATGTAGTATTGTTTTGATGTGATCTCGTATTTTCTACTTAATAATAATCATGACTAGTCTTTATTCTCTTCACATAGACCATACTCACATGTACACACTGACACACACATATATATATACATACACACTTCTACCCTGAAAATGTCTCTTACTCTATCTAATTAAGTTGTTGTTTGCATCTTTCAACCACTCTGTGGTGTTTTGTTTTTTAATCATGTGAAATGAGAATTACACTTTCCAGTATTACGATGTTACTCCAGACTCCATGTTCTACTCGTGTACGATGATTTAGATGTATATATGTATGTATGTATATGTACTTGTCTGTATCCATATGCTGTTCCCCCATAAAATGACTCAGAAACTTTTCTGTCTAACATAAAAATTCACATACTCAGTATTATTTTATTTACAATTTACAAATTTACTTTTCCTTACTATTTTGCATTTATTTGATCGATTGTAGGTTGAGTTTTCAAATAAATTTGATATATACACAAATATCTAATAGTCTATAATGAAGTGTCATATCACTGAATTATCTTTATTAAACGACCGTTGAAAACTAGGAAGCACTAGATAGCTGTTTTTTCATTAATGCAAGTTCAAGGCCCCACCGTGGACATTGTAGCGACCACCTAACCTCCTGATTACTAAGTTGTCTAGTAGCTTAACATTGCTAACTTCGATCAATTGGTGATATTGCGTGATTATCCTCCATTGCCTCACCCCCCGACTTAATTGAAACTTCATTGATCATGACTTCTGACTAGAACCCAGATGAGTAACTATAAGGTATCGTAAAGATTGTTGAGTTTGATTTGCGTTTTTAACACTGTCCTATTTCAAATTCCAATCTGACTTCGACTGGCTTATTCAGTTATTTTCGATGGGTTGAAATGAATTTTTTAGTGAAGGTAGTAACTTTTAACCTAGATTACACCAGTTGATTTTGATGTGGAGAACTAGGGATGATTATGATAATGGAATTAGTCAATCCCTTAAGTTATAAATTATAATTTATTACCTAAAACATATCAGTAGTTATGTTATCACCTTTGTTTCTCGTTGTGTTTTGTTTGTGCGAAAAAAGTAGTTTTTCAATGTACAATATCTGATTTTGTTAACAACCTTGATCTAAACACTTTTCAATAGGTTGTATCATCTATGTATAGTAGCAGTTGATGAACTATATTTTTTCTATTAGTTTTAGAAGATAGATGGATTATGGTTTGAGGTGGATACGTGTTTTGTCCTGTTTGAAACTTATCAACTGGATGTGCATACATTTCAATGTTGATATGCACACTAAAACTCGAACCGGATACTATTGTTTTGTTTCAAACATCAACACATTATCTATTGAGCTAGTGAATCCAACTGAAGAGTTCAAGACAGGACAAAACTTGCATGTTAAACTCCACTTCTAACTACAATCCATCCATTCCATATATATATGATATAATGGCTCTATTAAGATAATTCGCACAAAATGTACATATTTCAACTAAGACTAATCAAATTTCAGTAAAAAGTCGAAACGTTTACTAATACTGATATCCGGGTTTTCCATGGTGGTCTAGCTTCAATTGTATTATGATTTCAACTTTTTAAATTACTATAATATCCAAAAAACCCCTTCTAATACCAAGCAACATATGTTCACTAGTGACTGACTTCAATAATTATTTCCTAGAGTTCTAATAAGAAACAGTGACCAGTGGAGTTCAACCTGGTCTATTGTGAGATAGTAACTCACTGAAAACAATAGTGGATGTGTTACTCAATTTTGTGAATTAGTTGAATTTAAACAGTAACATCATTGAATGCCGGCCAACTCAATGGTCTAGGGGTTATACGTTCACGCACGTGACCGATAGGTCCTGTGTTCGAATCTTGAGACAGAATCATGGATGCATATCGCTGACGAGTTCTATACTAGTAGAACGAAACGGTCATCCAGTGCATCCAAATTTTCCATAGTGGTCTAGCTTCAATTGACTCATGATCTCAACTATTAAAATTACTATAATATTCACAAAAAACCCCTTCTGATTGATTTTTCCTCTTTAGTTTTCTTCAGTTTACTTCATTTATTTCATTTCAGAATCATAACAATAATAATAATAGTAACTTCATAGTCTATCATCTTTGTTTTACATGTTTTAAAAGGTACATTCCATTTTCATAAGTTTGTATTGTTTCTTTTTCATTTTCCAAAATGTTTTTACCAAAAAAAATGCACACAATTAAAATAGTTTGGATCATATGCTTAGATGTATCATATAATATCTTCATGTTTACGTCATTACCCCCTTGTCTCATCCAACCCTCCCCTCCATCTTCACTACTCTAATCAATCATTTTAATAATCACTTAGGTGGATACTTTATACATTAAAAGTGTGTTTATCCATCTATATAGCAACTCATTTTATATTTTATAATTAGTTTGTTATTTATAATTTAAGTTGGGTTTCTTTTTGTCTTTTGAGTAAACTATGGAGAGAGAAAAGCAATAATAATAATAATAATAATAATAATAATAATAATAATAACAAGAACGTTACACGTATTTCTTTGGAAATATTGCAAATACATTTTGTAGTTATATGTACATTATGTCTCTTATTCAAAGATTAATCTGTTAAATTATGAGTAGTGATATTGAAATTTTCTAGCTTAATGATGTACTATCATTATTTCATTATTTCTATAGTCAATGCCCTCAAATGCCCTGGTACGGCCGAGAGTGTGGAGAGTCCGCTCTCCCTCTCCAAATGCTCTCACATGGCCACGCGTATATAGCCTCTGCCAGGAAAGTCCTACTCACTGCCTTCACGTGGCGGGTGTGTTGTTTACGAAAATGAGAGGACGAAAAGCGAATTTCCGGCGCTTTAACCGGATCACAAACCAATGGTGCACATGGGCTAGCTCCAGTATCCTGAAGGAACAAATGGCATATGAACCAATCGTTGGTCACCGGCTACCATGGGACTGTAGTGGCTGTGCTTCGTTGACCAATCACCCTCGTAACCGTTATCGTATAAACCCCAACGGTAGTTGAAATCAGAAGGCAAAGAGAAGCAGCTACTACAGTTTTATTAGCAGGCAACTCAAACCACAGAGCAGAGAGGCGAATGAGTCAGCAAACCTTGATTGTGTGAGAATGTGTGGAAAAATGTGTGGAGTGTTAAATATACATGTAATTATATAGAAAAGTGAATGGACTATCGAATCGATTAAGCGAATAATAATAAGGTTAGTGGGATGAATATATGCGTGGGCAGTCAACAGTGTTCAAGCATGCTTATTCATACAAGCATAACAATAATAAAGATAGAATAAGTTGTTAAAGTACAGATAACCTTGTCCGTTTACTAGGTTAACAAAAGGGCTTAAACGAATTAGATGAGGGCAAACTCAATTGAACGTGAGTTGCTATAATAGCTCCCCCCTGCAAACAAAGATATATAGAAAAAAATGTCTGTGTTTGCACAAAAAATAGTAAACTGAATAGAGTAGTTACAATTGTTTAAGGAAAGTGCTTATACAAAATTAAGATGAAGCTAAATGTGTTGTGTATGTGGTTTGTGCTTGTCCGTGAGGCTATATAAAATAATAGTAGGGAATAGAAGGAAAGTGTTATCGTTCGTTTTTTTTTTTTTACATATAAGTGTAGGGTACATAATATATGCCTAGTTTTATCGTGTATAATACAGGCTTAATAATCTATATGTATACAATGAAGTGGAAGAGTTATAATTAATATTCAAAATAATAGTAAATTATCAATAAAAAATTGTAGCGATGTAGCGTTGAGGCCATCTTACTCTGCGGCCAGATCTCGTTGTTACTGGAGTCTCGCCTTTTTGCTGCGTTAGCGTCGTTGATTCTTGAGACTCGTGTTTCGTTGGTGTGACAATCTTCGAGGATTTTGTACTTGTTGACTGAATATCGCTATCGATGAAAGCTGGTTTCACTCTATCGATACTGATCACATCTGTTTTCCCAGCTTTTTCTATGGTAATCGTTTTATCTGTCCTCGCTGTCACTTTAAACGGACCGTCGTAATTCGGTTGCAGGGGTGGTTGTACTTTATCTCTTCTAATGAATACATGAGTGCTTTTGTGTAGCTCCTGAGGTATGAATACCTGTCGTTGTTGAGGTCTGGGTGGTGTTGTTTTTAAATCGCTCATGTGCTTTTTCAAGCGTTGTACGTAGTTGGCTACATCAGTCGGAACCCATTTATTCGAAGTGAAAAATTCTCCGGGTAACCGTAGAGTAGTTCCGTATACCAACTCGGCTGGACAACATCCCATATCTTGTTTAATTGTTGCTCTTAAACCTAACATTACTAGAGGAAGCTTATTGGCCCAATCATTGTTTACAATGACGGATGTAAGAGATGCTTTTAATTGCCTATGTAGACGTTCGACCATTCCGTTTGCCATTGGATGGTAAGATGTCGTTCGAAGTCGTTTAATACCGAGGAGTTCTGTAAGCTGTTGAAAGAGTCGACTTTCGAACTGAGCTCCTCTATCGGTTGTGATGATCGCTGGCACGCCGTAGTAAGAAATCCAATTTTCAACTAATGCTTTAGCTACCGATTCGGCTGAGGTATCTTTTATCGGTACTGCCACCGGCCATCGAGTAAATCTGTCAATGCATGTAAATATATAATTGTATCCATTCGAAACCGGCAGTGGTCCTACAATGTCGATGTGTATATGCTCAAATCTAGTATCTGGGTGTGAAAATGGACCCACTGCGGAGCTAGTGTGACGATGTACTTTGACTTTTTGACACTTTATGCATGCCTGTGTCCAATTACGTACATCGTGGTTCATGTTTGTCCATACAAATCGTTCACTGATTAGTTTTATCGTGGTTTTTATTCCGGGATGCGACATATTGTGCATACTTTCAAAAATCTTCTGTCGCAATGATGTCGGGATAAATGGTCGCGGTCGGCCTGTCGATGTATCACATGTTACTTTCGTGTTACCGAACCGCACCTCTTCGAGCACTAGTGATGTCGTACCCTCGGATCTGAGCTTCTTTAATTCGGTGTCTCTCTCTTGCAACTTTGCGAGACCATTATAATCGATTCCACTTGACATAAGTGCGTTTATCATTGCTCTGGACAGAGCGTCAGCTACGTCGTTTTCCTGTCCTTTAATATATCGTATGTCGGAAGTGAACTGTGAAATGAATTCTAACTGCCGGATCTCTCTCGGGGCATAATTGTCTTGTTTTGCGCTTAATGCTTTAGTAAGTGGTTTGTGGTCTGTGTAGACGGTAAAACTTATACCTTCTACCATATGACGAAAATGTTTTATGGCTAAGTAAATTGCTAGTAGTTCTCTTCCAAAAGTACTGTACCTTGTTTGTGTAGGGTTCAGTCTTTTCGAAAAAAATGAGAGGGGTTCCCAAGTACCGTTTACTAACTGCTGTAAAACGGCTCCTACCGCCACATCCGATGCGTCAGTCATGATAGCTAGTGGTGTTTCACTCTTTCGTCTAGTTAATGTCGTTTCTTTATTTAATGCTTTTTTGGCTTGCTCGAATGCCTGTATCGCCTCTGGTGATAATTGGAATTTCCGGGCGTGTCCTCTTAACGAGTCAGTTAATGGTTGCAATATCGCCGCACAATTCGGGATAAATCGTCTGTAGTAATTTACTAACCCGAGGAATCGTCGTAACTTCTTCCATGAGTCGGGTAGCGGATAATTTTTGATAGCGTCGACTTCTGTTGAGACAGGTGTAATGCCTTGAGAAGTTACAACGTGACCTAGGAATTGCAAGGATTCCTTTCCAAATTCACACTTCTCAATGTTTATGGAAACGCCATGTTCTCGCAGTCGCATGAATAATTGTCGTAACTGTTGTATGTGTTCATCCTTGGTGGCGCTGGCTACTAGTAAGTCATCGATATATGCGTAAACTCCAGGTAAACCTCTGATGACCTGGTCGATAAACCGTTGAAAGGTTTGCGCTGCGTTCGTCAGTCCGAAAGGCATGCGCAGAAATTCGTACAGTCCAAACGGGGTCGTTACCGCTGTCTTTGGTATGTCGTGTGGGGCAACAGGAATGTGATAGTAGGCTCTAACTAAGTCGATCTTTGAGAAGATAGTAGCGCCTTCAATACTGTAAGTAAAATCGTGGATATGTGGTATGGGATATCTATCGGCTACTGTTTGTTTGTTAAGTGCTCTGTAGTCTCCACATGGCCTAACTTCGCCATTCTTTTTCGGGGCCATATGTAATGGGGATGCCCACGGGCTGTTCGAAGGCCTTATAATGCCCAGCTTCATCAACTTGTCGAATTCCTGTTTTGCTATTGCTAGTCTTTTTGGGTCTAATCTTCTTGGCCTTGCATTAATTGGTGGTCCATTCGTTATGATATGGTGCTGAATGGAGTGTTTGAGATCTGCCTTATTGTACGTTACTTTCACGAGTTCAGGAAATTCCTTTAACAACAATTTATATGGATCACCGTGGCTTTTATCTATCACTAGATTCATGGAAACGGCTTCTGTAAGTGTTCCTCTTATCGAAGTGGTGTGACTACCATTTATAAGTCTGTGACGTCGCGAGTCTACTAGCAGATCAAAGTTACATAGAAAATCGATGCCAATTATGGGCACTGATACATCTGCTATGACAAAGTCCCAGCGGTATGAAGCGCCTCGTCCGAAATCTAGGGACAACTTTCGTTTGCCGTATGTCTTAATGTCTGATTTGTTTGCTGCTCTTAACACTAGTGACGCATTAACATTTCTTCTCTCCTCGCTTACGGGAGGTACTACGCTGATTTCCGCTCCAGTATCAACTAAGAATTGAGCACCTGTCGTTCGATCCTGTATATAAAACAGGCGGCTATTTGCAGGCATTATGTTCTTTGATGCCGTTGCCAGTGACAATCGTGGGTATCGTTTACCTGTTATGTTAAATCTACAAGGTTGTAAACATTTCCTAGCTCTATAGCCATACATTTGATGATACCAGCATATCAAGGGAGCTGTGCGTCTTCTAGAAGGTGATCGGTTTCTGTCGCGCGAGCGATCTCGTGATGATCTTCGTGGTCCTATTTCGCTCTGTGTTAATTCTGTGAGCTTGCGGCACAAAATACTTACCTCTTTCTGTAAAGTACTAAGTCTATCATCTACCGTCACGTTGTGTAATGGAGGGCTTGTTTGTTTGGTTCTTTCGTATATTCTATCGGCTATTTTTGCTATGTTGTCTATATCGGCGTCCGTATCTCCGACGGCTAGGATCTGCTGTACACTTGACGGAAGTCGCCTAAGCCACAGTTGATAAAACAGCTTATTGTCTATTTGCCTATCGCCCAACAGGCTTTTCATATACGTTTTTAGCTGTGATGGGGTTCTATCTCCCATTTGTACTTGGTTAAGAAGTTGTTCGACAGCTTGCCGATCACTTAGAGAGAGAGTTTTAATTACTTCTTGCTTTAGTACATCGTACGGCTTCTCGATGTCTGGTTTCGCTAACGCCTCTCGTACGCTATTTGCTACTTCGTCTGGAAGGAGTGTGCTTGTGAGACCGAATTTATCTCTTTGTAAGTGAATGCGGTTAGCCAAAAAATAATTTTCAAGTCTAATGAACCAAAGTTTTGGGTCGGTGACATTAAAAGAGGGGGCAGGAAGATTAAGAGACCTCACGGACTGGGTTTGCTGTAAACTTGATACAGTGTTTTCGGAAGACATGTTTATAAAAAATATTAAGTAGCACACGAATATAATGTAACTGTCATAAAGAAAAATGGACGAACCAAAAACAATGATAATAACAAATGGTACAATTTATAACATAGAACAGACTTACTAAATTGCACCAATATATCAATTGTTTGTCAATAATCGTTATTTAATATGATTATTATCGTTAATTCAATAATGTTTGTGAAATAATGTACGTGTAATTGAAATAGTAATATAATAAATCCACAGTTAAAATTACAGTCCATATGATAATCCAAGTTGAGACGAAGTGCGTTGAATTTTGGGAATTTGATTATATCGTCGAAAGTTGTTTCGTGTTCGCTCGTCGGGATCGCCAATTCTGTAGTGGCTGTGCTTCGTTGACCAATCACCCTCGTAACCGTTATCGTATAAACCCCAACGGTAGTTGAAATCAGAAGGCAAAGAGAAGCAGCTACTACAGTTTTATTAGCAGGCAACTCAAACCACAGAGCAGAGAGGCGAATGAGTCAGCAAACCGTGATTGTGTGAGAATGTGTGGAAAATGTGTAGAGTGTTAAATATATATATATATATATATATATATATATATATATATATATATATATATATATAGAAAAGTGAATGGACTATCGAATCGATTAAGCGAATAATAATAAGGTTAGTGGGATGAATATATGCGTGGGCCGTCAACAGTGTTCAAGCATGCTTATTCATACAAGCATAACAATAATAAAGATAGAATAAGTTGTTAAAGTACAGATAACCTTGTCCGTTTATTAGGTTAACAAAAGGGCTTAAACGAATTAGATGAGGGCAAACTCAATTGAACGTGAGTTGCTATAGGACTGCATCTCCTTACGATGCTCCACTGCCTTGTGGATCAGACATTCAGGTCGAGAATCGGGGTGTGGCCCCCTAAGAAAACCACCTGCTTCGGTTTGGGCACCCGAGCAGTATCACAGCCCTCACACAAATCAATTGAGATTCGTGTGGCGCATATGTATTTGGTGCCTCCTTGTACCAATATCTATGTGTTAAAATAAATAAATAAATAAAATCTATAGTCAATGCGATAGTCGGAGACACTTGTAGGCTAATGAGTTGTTTGTTTGTTTTTTTCAACTGTAAGTATTTTTATTCACAATTTGTGAAATAATCGAGTAGGTAGTAATATTGAGGTAATTGATAAAGATGGCAAATCAGTTGATGAAGTAGTGAATCTTCACCCGACATGTTTAGAAGTAGGTTGAAAGGAAGCTAGAAGTGTCCAAATCAAAATGTGGCATCAGTTCATGAAGTCGTTGACTATTGATCTGTGTCATATTCGTAGATATAAATTATCTGGTTGGGATCGAAGTAATAATTGCGATCAGGAGTTGGAGACGTGTGACATGACTCAGAATTGGTCACATGGACGCCCCCAAATGCCCTGGTACGGACGAGAGTGGGGAGAGTTCGCTCTCCCTCTCGAAATGCTCTCACATGGCCATGCGTATATAGCCTTTGCCAGGGAAGTCCTACTCACTGCCTTCTCGTGGCGGGGGTGTTGTTAACAAAAATGAGAGGACGAAAAGCGAATGTCCGGCGCTTTAACCGGACCTCAAATCAATGGTGCACATGGGCTCCAGTATCCTGAAGGAACAAATGGCGTATGAACCAATCGTTGGTCACCGGCTACCATGGGACTGCATCTCCTCACGATGCTCCACTGCCTTGTGGGTCAGACGTCCAGGTTGAAGGCTCGGGGTGTGGCCCCCTAAGAAAACCACCTGCTTCGGTTTGGGCACCCGGGCAGTATCACAGCCCTCACACTTATCAATTGAGATTCGTGTGGCGCATATGTATTTGGTGCCTCCCTGTACCTATACTTATGTGTTAAAATAAATAAATAAATAAAAACATGGACGCACATAAATTTTCTCCCTATCTTCCTCCAGTTTTTGAGCACCAATATTTATTCATGAATACTTTTTCATTCTATATTTTTCGATCCATATCCCCAAGGTTTAGTTTTTCTTTTTACCATTGCTACTACATTAATTTGTTCTTTTGCTATTTTGTCTCGTCATCTTAATATGGTCTGGCAACTTGGACCAGGCTCTATGTTAGTAATATCTGTCTGTCTGTCCGTCCATCCTCAGTCAACGTGACAGTTATGATTAAGAGGACGCCTATGAACACTTGCGCAATGCTTGATTCATTGTTCACAGCTAAACTTTGTACACAACTCCAAGATGTGACGTCAGTTTATAGATTACTGATCTAAACCATTTCGGTAGGTTCAGACTTCCTGGATGTAGGCCTACCTAATAATATTTTTAATCATTTTTTTCTTGAAACTGATTGATATAGCGCGAAATTCGTTATCATGGCACAGTTGCACTCATTCTACCTAGCTTTCTACAAACTTTCAGTCAACTTTTTCATCATGTGGACTGTCTAGTTCTCATGCCTAAATTCTCAGTGTAATTGAAATTAATCTCTCCTACTTTTCTTCTCATTTTGTTGATTCCCTGAGGAGTCCAACAATAGAACGAAACGGCCATTCAGTGCTTCCAGGTATTCCATGGTAGTCTAACTTCATTTGACTCATGATATCAACTACTTTAATTTCCTATCTGTTCATATTAATATAAGATGAAATATTCGTTCAACCAGTCATAATCAACAGCGAGTTTATATTGCCATACCTACGATACTACATTAACACAATGATATGAAAGTAACGTACTGTCATAATTAAGCAGTCGAAATAATTATAATATCAATGATAGTGAGCAAGACTAAACATTGAGAATATGGTTCATGAAGAAAGAATAAAATTGGTATACATGAAGGGACACCGGTAATCAGAGGAAGATAAAAAGTAAATTGATTTACTGTACTATTTTAAGGCATATAAATCATTGATCATAGTTATTGTGGGAATGCTGACCAGATAGTCTGCACCGACATAGCTTAGACTAATAGATACCTCATATCGATACAGGTGATAAGACATACGTAACACCATTCCCTAATCTCCTTAGTTGGTAAAGATCCAAAACTTCGTCCTATATTTGCTTAATATACTTTCCTTAGGCTCAACAGTACATTTGTGTCAGTATTTAACATTGAATATGACTGATTACTATTTTTTTCCTAAATATAAACTTGTATATTTACCACTATCCATAATAATCATATGTAATAGTTATCTTGTTAAAAAAAATTCTTTCAATTTTGTAGGTCCACATAATTGGCCACCGTTCCCTCCATTCTGTCCATGCAAACCATGTGTTCGACAAGATTTTGAAAATGATATTCCATTTGATTGTCGATGGATGGCTAAAATGGGCTATGGAATTTGGTTGGGTTATGCTATCTTGTTAATATTCAATATGTTTGGAGCACTAGGCTATTTTATTGTTGGTAACGGTGCAGCTGAAGGACCATTGTTTGGTGCATCAATTTTATTAGTGCTTGTTATGCCACCTATCAGCTTTTTCGGATGGCATCGACCTTTGTATAAAGCATTAAGGTAAATGTTAGTCCTTTTTTCAAAGAATTTCCCAGTATCAGTGTAGAAGGGATTTTTAGAGATTGTAGAACTTTTCATAGTTCAAACTACGAACTGATCTTAGTTAGACAGCCAATAGAAACCTGGAAGCACAGGACGACTTTTTCGTCCTAGTTTGGGAATCTTCACTGACAGTGTGGATTCTGCAATCCTCACAAATTCCTGTATACTAACAATAATCATGTGCTTAGTAGTGACTAGCTTCTGAGTATAACTCCTGGAGTTATGGTGAAGAACCGTGACCGGTAAGGTTCAACCGTGTCGAATGTTGAAACAGTTATTCACTGCAAACAGTAGATAAGGATCGCACGATATTGTGATTTAATTAAAGTCAGATATTAGCACCGTTGGATACGGTCTAAGTTGTCTGGAGGTTCAGTGTTCACTTGTGAGACCAAAGTTCCCGAGTTCGGTTGCGGGATACGAGGTCGTTGATGCGTGCTGCCACTGAGGAGTTCCATACTAGGATGAAATAGTCGTCCAGTACTTCATGATTTTAAATGTTGATCTATTTAAGACCATTTGTGGTTCAAACTATAAAAATTCGTTAGTAGTTTGTGTTAGACATAGAAGTGAATATATATTTGAAAATTTGTTGAGCATTTCATATTTATTGTCGACTAAAGTGTTTTTTCAAAGTTTACAGATAATGATCATATTTATAATCGTAAATTGAGTAAAGTTGAGAAAATGGGTCTACGAAACCTGGGGGTTTCGTGTTCGATCCCCTGTGAGATTATAGGTGTACTATGCTGATGGATTTCAAACTAGGATGAAATTCAAAAGTCGTTTATGAATGGATTCAAATTATATCTTCCACTGTTAGCCACACATTTTGAAGTCTTGTTCATACTAGTTCTTAGTGTAGTTGACAGTGCTAAATGAAATACTCGTGTTTCATTCTATTTGGAACCTGTCTGTAGATGTAACTGTATGTGAGTGTTGATGCTCACTGACACTATATTGACATACTGCATTCATAGTAGAAATAGGGCAAGAGAGATTGGTCAGTTACAGTTGTGAATGTGATAAACAATTGATTACAATGGAGGATGCCATGGCGTTTGTATGTTAATTAGTGTTCATGTAGGTGAAGGCGAAGGAGGTATGGTCACTTCAACATATCCTATACAAAGCAAGAGTCAAAATAAATCATTGCAATCGTGAAAAACTAGGTGGATGTCCCCTTCACTTTCGCATCCGTGAACATCAATTGGTGTTCAAACATCACGATATATCTTTGCTTACATCATTGCATTTGGACATGTTTGGAGACATCCAACTGAGAAAATGTTAAGATCTTAGACAATAGGGATACACAGACTAGAGAATTTTTAGAAACTTGGAATTTGGGTCAACCAACAATCACTAAACACATCAAAATTGATCTAATTTATCAAATAATCAGAAAAACCATAGATAAATATAGGACCAAGAATCAGATCAAAGGGAGATATAATCAAAACAAGGAGGTAGATAACGAGAGGTTAAAGGTTAATAATAACCAATCAACATCGAGGTTGACAGAACAAGCTATTTTTTATATGTGAAGAAATCCCAATACTCTATTTTACTTGAAGTTTGTGTTGATGATGCTATTCAGAAGAACAATCAAAGCTCTATTCATCTCAGTGAACAAAAATCCACCTAAAACTATATCAGTTCATTGTCAAATTTGAACTACTTCTTATTAGATTCATTTAAAGTTGTATTAACAGATATTAAACCTTATCAGTGTAGAAATTAGGATTTATACATACATGCATAATATATCATATGACTGAATCGCCAATTAGAACACGACTTATATGACATTGGCACTGTGCCAAACTAATGATGCGTTATTCAGTACTAGCAGCCTCGAGTCAACTTTGAGTCTTTATTGGTCCAGGTGGTTTTCTAAAAGGGCCACACCCGGAGCCTTCGACCCACAGCTCTAGGAGATGCAGTCCCATGGTAATCAGTGACTAATAATAGGTTCATACTCTATTTATTCCTTCAGGATACTGAAGCCCATGTACACCATTGGTTTGTAATCAGGGTTTCCCAACTTCCCTAGGTGGATCCTCCATATCTACCAACTTGGTTAAAGCGCTGGACATTTACTTTTCGTCCTCTCAATTTCATAAATAACACCCAGCCGCGAAAAGATTCAGTAGGACTTCCCTGGTAGTGGTTGTATGCACATGGTCATGTGAGAACATTTGGAGAGAGAGCGCAGCCTTCCTACTCTCGGCCGTACCAGGGAATTCGGGGGCTAATACGTAGTTCTTTTAATAAATTTAGATTCCAGCTAATAAGTCTGTCAGTTCTTAATGGTCATGTATCTGACTCCAGTTAGATCATACGGTGATTGTCTTCGAAATATACATACGTCCAACTCTCGTATATTTTTTATCGTCTCAATTCGCGTTATAGAAATAATGGAATAAAGTAAGCCATATAAGAGAATGAATTTTGAATATGTATATTTCATACTTTCATTGATCCAGACAAACAATTAGAGAAACAAAACGGAATGACGCTCAACGAAAAGCCGAATCGTTTTGCTCGAACATAACGCAATATTTATATTCAGACAATAATAATAATAAATACAGGCAAGTAATGAATAAGGTGAGCAGTAAACACACATACGATCAAATAAAAAAACGGTCAAGATTAACAAACGAACAATTGACAAGGTCAAAGTGTCGCTTGAGAAGAATGAATAAATGGGTCCGTCCAGAATCTAGAATGACCTATGTGAGCTTGACATAATATCAACCCCTACAAGCCCCAAAATGTCGTGGTACGACCAAGGCTGGGGAAAGTCAACTCTCCATCTCAAAATGCTCTCGTATGGCCACGCGTATGCAGCTACTGCCAGGGAAGTCTTACAGCGTTCTCAAGGCGGTTGTGTTCTTTACGAAATTGAGAAGACGAAAAGCGCTTTAACCGGGTTAGCGGACACGGAGGTTCCATCTAGGGGAGTTGGGAAAACCTGATTACAAATCATTGGTGCACATGGGATCCAGGATCCTGAGGGAACAAATGGCGTATGAACTAATTATTGGTCATCGACTACCGTGGGACTACATCTCCTTACGTTTCTCCACTGCCTTGTAGATCAGACCTTTAGGTCAGCGACCCAGGGTGTGGACCTCTAAGAAAACCAGCTGCTTCGGTCTGGGAACCCGGGCAGTATCACAGCCCATATACAAACCAAGTGATTTGTGTAGCGCATATGTATTCGGTACCTTTTTCTACCAATATTTGTGTTCAAATATATAAATAAATAAACCTATTCGACATACTTCTATCATTAATCATCATATCTCAAGTTATAACTGATTGCTGAGTACACACAAATTTGTAGTTAGTGTAGTACTTCACTATAAGTTGAACAAGTTTTCTTTTCACTTTCATATAAACCTAATCACCTTTCGATTTATCTTTGTCTCTTATTTCCATTTTGTTTACTTTATGTAGATCAGATAGTTCAGCGAATTATTTATTATTTTTCCTTTTCTTTTCTGGACAAACCGTTATTATTTTGATACAATGCCTTGGAATTGATTATCTTGGATCATGGTAAGCTTGAATACATATATTTTTTTATGATAAAATATTAATGTCAATACGCACCTATTCTGTTTAGAATAATCTCATAGACTAGCTGTAACTACCCTTTTCCTTCTTAAACATGAAGTGTACTTTGCTCAGAATCATAGTAATTAAGTTATTAGATTAATATATGCACTTTGTACTTATTCAATACATTATTGATCCAACTGATATAATTGTTATTGTTAGGTAGATCAATTTATATATTTCTGCTTCTTTCTCCTCATAGTTTTCTTCCCTTTCTCTTCTTCCTCCTTCTCTCATCCTTCTTCTTTCTCTCATCTCCTTCATCTTCTCCTGTTGCTTAATTAGTCGGATCTATTTGATAAGATAAAGCCTACAATTTATAAAATACCTTCTAAATTACTTTCTTCTTTCACGTTTATTGATCATAATAGTTTTACATTTTTTTTATTAGTGACTTGTCGTTGTTTTTTGTTACTGTTGGGACCTTTTTATACAGATTTTTTTGTTATGAAAGTTTTTATGTTATATGAGGTGTATGAGTTACCGTAGATCGATATCGAGTGAAACAAACAAACAACTGTGTTCTGATCAATGAAAATTCAGTAAATAATTCTAGTTATTACTTTTACGAAGTGACAATGTGTCTATTTTCTACTTTCTCTCTCTCTCTCAAAATCATAATTTCTTGTATTAATTGCAAACAGTTGGTTGATTCTCTTTCTTAAAGTATTAGAAACTTTTTTTAAGTTCAAATAGACTAGACTAGATTAGTAGTCAGTCAGAGTGCTGTTAGAGATGTGAGGGTGGTTATCACTTCCCAGTTGCCCACACCGTGGAAGGGTTCTTCTGGAGGTACCTGAAAACGAAATCGCGTTAGAGTTGATCTTAGTGACCTGTGAGTGTGACGTCAGTGCCCAAGGGACAACTGCTTATGATTGGTCACACACGACGACCCTTTTATGAGTAATTTTCGTGTTAACTCCGTACTTGTTGAGACCTTACCACCGGAAACGGATATCCGTGGGATAAGGTGAGGTGTGCATTTTTAGAGTCAACCTTTTCCAACACCACACCTCCTTGTGGGAAGGCAGCATCGCTGTCATACTGGCTGTCTGAATGAAACACCTTACTGCTGTCACACCTCTGTACAGTCAGCAGTACGACTTCACCTTCGGACCTTGGATTTGTTGCTTTTAGTCTTACCATTCTTCAACCTACCTGTCTGGCATGGTAGGACCTTGAGGAACGGTTGTTCCAGCCAGTATAGCTCGATTGTTTCATCACGATAGGTAAGCCTGACCACCACGTCAAGGTAGCAACAACGGTCGGGTGATTAGTAGTACCATAACAACGTTGGTATTGCGTAATTTTGAAGTTATTATCAATTATGATGAACGTATTCCTCTAAACATGGTCGTAAATATCCCACACCTCTCTATACCTAACTGTCACATTTTCAATGAATCATACACATCTTAGTCAGTGTATGAAATACATGTTCATTATAACTCGTTTAATTAGTGAATACAATTTGAAATTCTGTACATTTATCATATGTTTATCACTTTTATGGGATTACTACTGTAGTGAACGAAGATTCATATGGGGAAGATTAATTTATTGTTTATTGCAAAATCAGAGATTGTTTGGGTAAAATATGAAAACCACACATTCAATACATCATTTACATATCTTTCTATGTAGGAGGAATAATAGGAATTGAAGAGGAAGATTGATTACTTACCTTGGAAGTTTGATCAACCCTAATGGGTTGATGCCTGACGAAATCTCAGCACGGATTCGAAAAGATTGCTTGTATTTTGCCAAATTACGTCACCTATGGCGAAGGCGAGATATCCGTCCATCAATAAAAGGACGAGTATACTGTGCGGCAGTTCGTTATACTCTTCTTTACGGCTGCGAAACATGGCCATTAAGAGTTGAATATATTCGTAAGCTACTAGTATTTGAGTACAGATTCCGTAGAAATATTGCTGGCATCTGCTGGGATCACCGGGTAAGTAATAGTGAGGTTAAACGTAGGGTATTAGGGAATGATGGTGAATCAGTTGAATCTTCATTGATTTAGATGGTTAGGCGCCACATGTTACGTATGCCTGAACACCAATTACCACGACGTGCATTGGTGACTAGTGTTGGAGACGGTTAGAAGAAAGTTAGGGGTGGCCAAACCAAAACGTGGCATCATTCCTTGAAGTTACTAACTTAACCATGTTGGTAGATGCAGACTACCTAGTTGGGGTCCACGTGACTATCGTAACCAATGGTTGGAGACTCGGTGTGACATAAGCCAGAATCGATCACAATGGCTTCGGTGTATAAACTCTCTGTCTTCCCTTAAACTAAGAGATTAAAATCGCTTCATATCTTTCTTTCTACGAACTAATTCTTACTTCTTGCACTATATCCTTATATGCAATCTTTCTTCTATATATTACCACCATTACTTCGATGAAACCGATGTTCATCTTGCGGTAATAATGAGGTATGGCAACTTGGACCGATGGACATATGTGCCTGGTTCTACGTTGTAGCTGACTGACTGACATATATTTGTGTCAGTTGTCTCTGACAAACTTCATTCATTCATTCCTGTTTTTTTATTACAAATACTCTCTGTTTACATTCCCGTTTTCTTGAATTTGATCATCTCAATGTTCTGTCTTGCATTCCACTTCTGTTTGGTATTACATACTACTTATATCTGTCAACCTTGTTATGATTTAATGTTCGGCGTGCGATCACGTGACTTATCCACCAATCAGAATACGGCTTATACAAATACTCGCACTATGACAGAACCAATGACGTTCAACCGGTCTGAGCAGTCTAGCGTCCTTATTGGGTCCTATGTCCTTTTAACCCGTCCACTTGAGTCCAGAACACAATACCAGCTTCCGTAATATGAATCGAATCGGACCGAATCATTTATTTCAGACATACTCGGTTTATATATCAATCAGGCAGACCACAACGTACCATAAAATAGAAAATAACATGTGTACAGAAATAAGCCAAAAAGCGGCTGTGAATGTGGGAGACAGTGATTAATAAACTGAGCATAATTTAGGTACAGTAAATCGTACAATGATAAATCATAGGTCGAAGTGAAGCTTATAATAAGAGGAATATAAATATATGTAGTCTAACTATTGAATAGTTATGCCGTAAGGATATATAGATAATATTAGTCAATTAATGTCTCAGAAGTTACTTGTGATTTAATCTTCGCTCGGATATAACAAACCTAAGTAGCGAAAACCACACCACCAATTGTTAATTCATATGTAAAGTAAGGTTTGTATATTTCACCTTGATTTTGATGGGAAACGAAAAAATTTTATAACATTAACTATTGTTGATCAAAGCAAAGGCTATCAATTTAACATCGTAATTTTGTACAACCGTGTGAGAAAGTTTAAGTTTTTGGTTAGTTCCGATAATCCTTTACCTCTCTCTCTCTCTGTATCTTAACTGATACATTCGTCATAATAAACAGTTCATAACATTCATCAGTAGCGTATAAAATGTATTAATCAATCAGAATCATTACGGAGGATCTTGCATAGTCAGTCACATGATGAATGTATATGGTATTATGTTGTAGATCGAGTGAAATAACTCGAGGAAGCTTGGGAACTATATTCAATTACATCAGGACTCAAATAATACTACCAATCAATACAAATATATATTCCGATTAAAATTCATAACAACACAACAACAACAACAACAATAGAAAACAAGTTGTTAAAACGTTTTGAAAAATAAACCTAAACCGTTTTAAATACGGGTATAAATGGTATAATAAATTAATTTTTATAAAATCTATATTTGTGACACTTCCAATTATGAAATTCTTTAAACACTATAAATAGATGATAATCACAAAAAAGTATACTTGTACACAACTATTACTAAGCAATAAGTAAAAGCCAAAACAGTTTGATTAAGAATTATCCAACATTTTTAACCATTATACCATCAGTTGAATAGATCATTACTGTTATATAAAAGAATATTGATTTTCATTTTAATCATTTAATGCTACACTTGTTGGATGAAAGTAGCAAATGAAATGAAAGTGGATTAGTTGAAGTTAAACATGAACACAATTGAATGCCCAGCTTAGTGGTCTAAAGGTTAAGCTTTTCTCACGTGAGACTGATAGGTCCTGAATCCGAGTCTCGCGGAACGGGGTCGTGGATGAGTACTGCTGAGAAGTTCCATACTAGGACGAAATGGCCGTCCAGTGCTACTAAGTTTTCCATTATGGTCTAGCTTCAATTGATTTATGATCTAAACTATTAAAATTACTTGAATCTCCACAAAACCTCCCTCTGATAATATGAAATGCTTCGTGAAAATGAGGCTCCTACATGCGGTACTTATTAAATGGACGATAAAAAAAAATGCTTGCTACCTCATACGCGTTGAACATTGGAGAAACGGATATGCCGCGAACCCATGATTTTTTATTTGTTTTTATTTGAACACATAGATATTAGTACAAAGAGGCACCAAATACATATGCACCACATAAATCTCATTTGATTTGTGTGAGGGCTGTGATACTGTACGGGTGTCCAAACCGAAGCAGGTGGTTTTATTAGGGTGTCATACCCGGAGCCTTCGACCTAAAGTCTAACCCACAAGAGGTCAGGGGTAGTACATATATTTGAGATAAACGGTTAATAGCATAAGGTGGAAGATGATGGCTTTCGAATATTATCGGTTTTTGGCTATTTTAAGTTTTTGTTCACTGTGAAGATGACTCTAAAAATGTTATACTGGATGGACTCAAAACATTTTTCTACCTTCTGTATACTACACTACTACGATAAGACTGTACTAACTGGTCGACTTTATAATACTTCTAGATTGAAAATGCGAACGATCTGTTATACACAGACAAGACCACGTTATATCAGATATCTGATTCATGACCAAGATAGAGAATAAAACGAACGCTAGACAATACTTCATTCTACACCATTACAAGCAGTCAGTCTCAGTGATTCTAGAGCAGTAAATCACCTATTGAACAGACAGTAAGCTGAGTGACTGTTTGTCCACAGCCACTGAACAGTCACATTTACTTTCACTAATACACATCAAATAACTAGGGTCATATGGTTGTTTTTTTAGTACATATCTACTTTTGCCTCTTTTCATCCATCCAACTAACCTGTGCAGTAGGACACACATCAAACAATTCATATACCTACCTTCATAGGAATACTTACTTACGCCTGTTACTCCCAATGGAGCATAGGCCGCCGACCAGCATTCTCCAACCCACTCTTTCATGAGCCTTCTTTTCTAGTTCCATCCAGTTCTTGTTCAAAAAACGCTAACCAGAAAAAAATTATTCCATAGGAATACGTCAATTTGTAATAAATCTACATTAAATTAGTTGGATATAAGGACTTGCCTTATGGTTTAATATATTTCTACTATGCATTAGTGTCTCAATAGTTAAGGTGTTCGACATCCATGTTCGAATCTTGTTTTACTGACTTTTCAGTTAATGTAACTGAAATGATAATATTATCCCTTAGCCTTCAAACATTGAAAGTATAACTCTCAAAGTCAAATATACAAATGTGTACCTGGTAAATAAAAATACAAATATAAATTTCGATAATGTAATAAGAAGACGGAGATTATCAAAACTATGTGATATATTAGCGCAATACATTTCGAACAATCTGATCACACATATACTTGTTAAGAGCATTTATATATAAAAATAAAAGGTCAACTAGACTGGAAATGGGGTAAGAGGATATAAGGATAATAATAAGAGTAATAATAATAATATTAATAATAATCTGAACACAATTCAAAACCTAATCACTCTGGATAATAAGTCAATATTACCAGGGTAGGTTTAAGGTAAGAACAAACTGTTTTTGAATACACAAAGGGGGTTTGAATTTTCGTATGGCTAAGGCTTCAATAAACCTTAGTATACGCCCTTTTACACTTTTATATAATACCACAAAAGCCGAGTTTAGATCAATCTTGTGCCCTGTTTCAATTATATGTTTAGCAATAGAGGATGATGGATGTTTATCCTCTGCTCTTATTGGGTCACTTGATTGTATTTGTTTTTGCAGCCATTTGGGTACATAATTGAAAACATGTCACTTTATAAGAGATATGTGGATGATATCCTAGTTGTTTGTGAAAGTAAAGAGGAGATGTACCGTTTATTAAATAAATTCAACACTCTTCAAAACCATATCAATCTCTCATGTGAAGAGGAGAAAAACGATCAGCTCCCTTTCCTAGATATACTTCTGAGTAGACGAGAAGATGGCTCAATCAAGCGATCCATTTTTAGAAAACCAACGTGGACAGGTCAATACCTTAGTTATTATAGTTATTGCCCTGTGCAATACAAACGTGGTTTGATAAGGTGTCTTTTCAACAGGCTTGATCGCATTTGTACAAATGACGCCATTGATGATGATGTTAAGTTGTTAAACAAAACATTAGTAGAAAATGGTTACCCCCTGAAATTCATAAATAGATGGAAAGTCCACGGTACAGTGAGACCTACTGTAGCCTCGGTGGAAAAAAAGCCTGTCTACATCACCTTACCATTCAGAGGTGATTCAAATAGTCTCTTATTGAAACAAAGACTTAAATCAGTCATCAGCAAAACGTACTGCGCAGCAAAGGTCATTGTCAAAGAAAGAACAAGGTGCATGTTTCATTCAAAACCTCAAAGACATGAAAACGATTGTGTCACATCCCACTGTGTTTACCAATTTAAATGTGTGTGTGGTCACACATACATAGGGAGGAGCAATCGTAATCTTAACATTAGGGTGAGTGAACATGTACCCAAATGGCTGCAAAAACAAATACAATCAAGTGACCCAATAAGAGCAGAGGATAAACATCCATCATCCTCTATTGCTAAACATATAATTGAAACAGGGCACAAGATTGATCTAAACTCGGCTTTTGTGGTATTATATAAAAGTGTAAAAGGGCGTATACTAAGGTTTATTGAAGCCTTAGCCATACGAAAATTCAAACCCCCTTTGTGTATTCAAAAACAGTTTGTTCTTACCTTAAACCTACCCTGGTAATATTGACTTATTATCCAGAGTGATTAGGTTTTGAATTGTGTTCAGATTATTATTAATATTATTATTATTACTCTTATTATTATCCTTATATCCTCTTACCCCATTTCCAGTCTAGTTGACCTTTTATTTTTATATATAAATGCTCTTAACAAGTATATGTGTGATCAGATTGTTCGAAATGTATTGCGCTAATATATCACATAGTTTTGATAATCTCCGTCTTCTTATTACATTATCGAAATTTATAAAAGGGACTAATTGTTTTACAAATATAAATGAAAATATTGATTATATCACTATAAAAATAGTAGTTTAGTGGAATTTATAGACGAAACCAATCATCTATAAGATAATAGATTTCAGATTTTGGCACGAAATTCATTTATCCATTTGATTAACTAGAGTTTTGATATGATAACTAATGTTAGTTCGTGTCTTGACCGTTGTTGCTACCTTGACGTGGTGGTCGGGCTTGCCTATCGTGATGAAGCAACTGAGCTATGCTGGCTGGAACAACCGTTCCTCAAGGTCCTACCATGCCAGACAGGTCGGTTGAAGAATGGTAAGACTAAAAGCAACAAAACCAAGGTCCGAAGGTGAAGTCGTACTGCTGACTGTACAGAGGTGTGACAGCAGTAAGGTGTTTCATTCAGACAGCCAGTATGACAGCGATGCTGCCTTCCCACAAGGAGGTGTGGGGTTAGAAAATGTCGACCCTAAAAATGCACACTTCGCCTTATCCCACGGATACCCGTCTCCGGCGGTAAGGACTCAACAAGTACGGAGCTAACACTAAAACTACTCATAAAAAGGTCGTGTGTGACCGACCTCAAGCAGCTGTCCCTTGGGCACTGCGGTCACGCTCTCAGATCACTATGACCAACTCTAATCCTATTTCCTTTTCAGGTACCTCCAGAAGAACCCTTCCACGGTGTGGGCAACCGGGAAGTGATAACCGCCTTCATACCTCTAACAGCACTCAAGACCACTGTATACCTCTACCTCTTAGTTCGTGTTGAAAACATTAAATCGAATTCTTTACACATTGGTTGATAACCTTTATTTAGTCCTGACTATTAGCTGAACATTCTCAAAATCAATCTGATGTCACTCAAAGATCATCCATAAGTTACAGTCCCATTAAATTTCTCTAAATATGCATAATTTAACATTAAGAAAAACATAACTTTTTTCTTTTTTATAAAATTTTTAAATGTTTATATAGTGGTTGGATTAATGGTATAAAAACTATCAATCATAATGATGGTGTTGGTGTTCTCATGTTATTGATTGCTACAATGTTCAGTATACTTGCAGGATTTTGTACTTTCCTGTTATTTAAGGTAAATTTTTTATCATGTTTTCCTCTTCTATTTTTTACTGTTGTCACCGTTGTTGTTGTTGTTTTCTTATTTCATGTTTTTCATATGTTCAAACCGAGATCTTTTCAATTTTTGTCTGTTTGTATACTTCATGTCTATTCGATAAATATGTATGCTAAAGTAGAGTTATGGTGAAGAACCGTGACCGGTAAAGTTCAACCGTGTTGAATGTTGAAACAGTTATTCACTGCAAGCAAGGGATTTTTAGAGATTGTAGAACTTTCATAGTTCAAACTACGAACTGATCTTAGTTAGACAGCCAATAGAAACCTGGAAGCACGGGACGACTTTTTCGTTCTAGTATGGGAATCTTCACTGGCAGTGCAGATTCTACAATCCTCACAAATTCCTGTATACTAACAATAATCATGTGCTTAGTAGTGACTAGCTTCTGAGTATAACTCCTGGAGTTATGGTGAAGAACCGTGACCGGTAAAGTTCAACCGTGTCGAATGTTGAAACAGATATTCACTGCAAACAGTAGATAAGGATCGCACGATATTGTGATTTAATTGAAGTTAGATATTAGCACCGTTGGATACGGTCTGAGTTGTCTCGAGGTTCAATGTTCACTTGTGAGACCAAAGTTCCCGAGTTCGGTTGCGGGATACGAGGTCGTTGATGCGTGCTGCCACTGAGGAGTTCCATACTAGGATGAAATAGTCGTCCAGTACTTCATGATTTTAAATGTTGATCTATTTAAGACCATTTGTGGTTCAAACTATAAAAATTCGTTAGTAGTTTGTGTTAGACATAGAAGTGAATATATATTTGAAAATTTGTTGAGCATTTCATATTTATTGTCGACTAAAGTGTTTTTTCAAAGTTTACAGATAATGATCATATTTATAATCGTAAATTGAGTAAAGTTGAGAAAATGGGTCTACGAAACCTGGGGGTTTTGTGTTCGATCCCCTGTGAGATTATAGGTGTACTATGCTGATGAATTTCAAACTAGGATGAAATTCAAAAGTCGTACATGAATTGTTTCAAATTATATCTTCCACTGTTAGCCACACATTTTGAAGTCTTGTTCATACTAGTTCTTAGTGTAGTTGACAGTGCTAAATGAAATACTCGCGTTTCATTCTATTTGGAACCTGTCAGTAAATGTAACTGTATGTGAGTGTTGATGCTCACTGACACTATATTGACATACTGCATTCATAGTAGAAATAGGGCAAGAGAGATTGGTCAGTTACAGTTGTGAATATGATAAACAATTGATTACAATGGAGGATGCCATGGCGTTTGTATGCTAATTAATGTTCATGCAGGTGAAGAAGAACGGTGCATGTCTATTTGATAAATACATGTACTGAAATATTTAATTTGTTAGTGGAAGTTGAAGAAGATAACACATTGAATAGAACAATGTTCTTTTTAGTGATTTGAGTATTTTAATTATAATCGTTAGGTGAGTTCGATTACCTTATGTGTAGTTTCTTGTGTATTTTGATTTTGACATTCACTGTCGAGATTACTTCTCATAAGATCATAGTGAAACATTTGAAGTTAACAATAAAGTGAAAGAAGGTGGTTAAAGAAGCTGATTTTTGAGGACTTCCAAGGATGTTTTGAATACTGAGGACGTTGATGAACATGTGTACTATCGAGTGTACACAAGTAAGACAACAGTGACGTATTTCTCTCAGACAACCAACTCTTGTAGCTATACTGGCTTACAATGGTGGGATAAGGTTACAAAAGTTTAATTCTAAAAGAACTATAACTTACCTTCTGTTAATAACTTTCTTAAAGTGATCTGACAACACATCTAGTTTTTTTTTCTACAAAAAGTCCGTGTGATCTCTTAGGTTCTTCGGTCTTAGGTCTTCGTAACCACCTCTAAACCAGTTTCTTTTCCAGCTCATTCAATGTGAAATATCTTCTCACTATTACATTAATTCGTTGATCAAATACTTGGATGTGTTGTAGTGAAGCAGAACACTGGTGAGGACAACCGAATTGTATTTAGCTCAAATTACAGAGTTAATTGGTAAAATACAAAAACCATATAGTGAATCGTTAATTTGCAAAATATCAATCCTTCATATCAAACTGGACTGTTCCTGTTGCAAATATCAATCCATTGACTGACATTTCCTTGTTCATGAGTTTTCAGACAAATTCCATTGTGTTCCCGCTCTTCCTTTCTTGATTTTCCCCCATCTTCTGCTGCCCGACATTACGTTTTTAACTCGCGTCATATACTACTTATTATATCATTATAAGTAGCGCGCACCACATTCCAAGTGTACCATCCGGATGCCTAAACTGAAGTTGACGAGGTAGAGTTCAATTCAGGGATATAATGGCTTAATCAATAGGCCGCTACTTTACTATGTTAGTTATCAAAAATTAACAATAACAATGTTGATTATCTCTAACAATACTTGCAGATCCAACCTAGGGATTTCGACATACACAATAGTTTCAACATAAATTTATATCAGAAGGGATTTTTGTAGATATTATAGTAATTTCAATAATTGAGATCATAAGTCAATTGAATCTAGATGGGACTGCTTAGGAGTCCCATACTAAGATGAAACAGCTGTCCAGTGCATCCAGATTTTCCATACTTGTCTAGTTTCATTTGACCTATACATTAAAAATCAAACTCACTTATTTCACCATATTGTTTTTGTGTTGTTTTTTATTTTTCTATTTTCGTAGGTTCATAGATATTATCGATCATCTGGAGCAAGTTTACACAAGGCAAAATTAGAAATGGCCAATGCAGGAGTATTTGAACGTTCCGGAGGATTTGGTGCAATGCCATAATTGAAGAAAGAAAGAACTAAGGAAGAAAAAAAAAGACAATAATAAACTAGTAAACAGGCAATTTCTATATTAATCAGTTTACTTGTAATACAATTTAATCAATATGGACATATTCTGCCCTTATATATCTATCCTTAAAACCTCCAGTGATATCTTATTTTCTTTTCTCTTTTCTGTTCTGTTTTCTCCTCTTTTCTCTATGCACAATGTTTGTTGTTGTTTTTCCCTGTTTTTTTTTTTAAAAAAATTTTAGCTGTGATTGTTTTTGTTAAGTTTTACATGTAAAGAATAAATAACCAAATTAAACTAACTAACTAACCAACTAACGTGTAACTAACCAATGGCTGCGAGATTGTTTTTTTTTATTATTAAAGGAAATTCATCTATTTCCAATCATAATTGCTCATATATCCATATCAACACCAACCCTCACACACATACACACACACATGCTCATGCACAGTTTAATATTAACATGACAAGTACTTCTCTGTTTTACGTTTTTTTTATTGATATATTGGAAAAAAGAAAGAACTAATCATCTCTTTGTCTTCTTCTTCTTCTTTTTTTGTAACCATGGGTGTATGGGTAGTTTTCTTCTGTATACTCATAGTTGTTGTAGTCTATGATCATCGACTTGGTTTACCTTCACCATGATTACTACTACTACTACTACTCTTTTTCTCTGTTTCAATCTGTCCATTATATATGAGTGTTTTTAATATGATTCAGCTTTAGTTAGTGTGTTTGTTGGTTAAATCAAATGGATTGTATGGTATTTTCACACACATACATACATACAAACAAAAAAAACTTGTTTCATCATGTGTATTTGTTCTTTTCTTAACCCGTTTCCTTCTTTTTATTATTATCGTCATGTATTAACTTGACAGAATTAAAACTAAATGAAAATAATTCATAAGATTTGTTTCTATAAGGTTTGTTTTATTACTTACTTCAATACATTATTATTAACTTTGTTCGACTGTATTATTCTCTTGATTAAACAATGGTACCTTTTTTGAGGGGGTGGGGAGTTTCCAGTAGTAGTTACTTACTTACGCCTGTTACTCCCAATGGAGCATAGGCCGCCAACCAGCATTCTCCAACCCACTCTGTCCTGGGCCTTCTTTTCTAGTTCCATCCAATTCTTGTTCATTTTTCTCATGTCTATCTCCATTTCTCGAAGTAATGTGTTCTTTGGTCTTCCTCTTTTCTTTTGGCCTTGAGGATTCCATGTAAGGGCTTGTCTTGTGACGCAGTTCGGTGCTTTCGTCAATGTGTGTCATATCCACTTCCTGTGCTTCTTCCTGATTTCTTCCTCCACTGGAATCTGGTTTGTTCTCTCTCACAATAGGTTGTTGCTAATAGTGTCCGGCCAACGGATCCGAAGTATTTTACGTAGACAACTGTTAATAAATACCTGTATCTTCTGGATAATGGCTTTCGTGGTTTTCCAGGTTTCCGCCCCATACAGTATAACTGTCTTGACATTTGTATTGAAAATTCTGACCTTAGTGTTGGTTGACAGACAGTTGCTTAGAGTTCCAGATGTTATTCAATTGTAGATATGCTGCTCTTGCTTTGCCGATCCGTACCTTCACATCTGCATCAGATCCACTGTTTTCATCATTGATGTTGCCCAGATATGTAAAGGTTTGTACATCTTCCAAACCTTCTCCGTCAATTGTTATTGAATTGGTGCATATTGTGTTGTATCGGTGAATCTTGCTTTTCCCTTTGTGTATATTGAGACCTACTGCTGCTACACTGGTCGTCTTTTCCCGCATTTGTTGTTGAGTTTGTGATAGAAGAGTCAGATCATCTGCGAAGTAGTTGGCCTATAGTAAATTGTATTTATAAACAATTGAGAATTTTTTTTACTATGATCCAACGAATGAGAAGTTGAATATATCAGACTTCTGATACACAACAACAACAATAGTAATAACATCTCAAATTTAATAATCTACCCACTATAATACAAGATAGAAAGGACATGAACATCAGTTATATAATATACCCTTGTATGCGAAGGTAATTTTACATTGGTTTTCAGAAGAATCAGACACTATCCAAACTTTCATGTGACAACCCAAGAAGTACAGCTCAACCCCGTTTAACAAGAGAGCCAGGCTTTAACGCTACAATCTGAATAGTACAACTCAATCCTGTGGCGCAACCACACAGGTACCAAGCACCCTGGTGGACCATCAGGATAGGTTTATATTCCAAACTGAAGTTGAAAAAGGAACAACATGTAATAACCTTGAAGCATGTGAAGTTAGTAAACTAAAAAAGATGACCAATTAGATGGCAGAAAAAAATCATTACAAATACGAGTTAGTAGAACGTTATACAGTTTACCTCATTAGCACTGTTTAAAGTAGAATACGGCATTAGTTTATGGAATCATTGCTCATTGATCTGAGATGTATTGACAGATGCAGACTATGTGATGATATTTAAGATGGATATGATATCTGAAGTTAATGATTGAAATGAATGTAATACTATTTTTGTTCAGTGTAAGCATCATCCGAACATATTACGTTGAGAAATGGAGACAGACATGATAAGAATGAACATTAATTGGATAGAACTAAGAAGGAAGGCTCATGATAGAGTGAGTTGGAGAATGCTAGTTGTCGGCCTTGTAATAGGCTCATTGGGAGTAACAGGCGTAAGTAAGCATCATCAATTGCTACCCCACTAAATGCTGAAAATTCAAATTTTAATTAAAATGATTAAGTTTGTTGACAGTCTTATAAACTTATGACATAGGAATGAAGAAATAAAAGGATTAATCTTGTATTTATTACTTTGTAACGAAAATATTCACTTATTTAAAATATAGTTCCATAGATCTTGATCGCTTAATAAATTTAGATAAAGGGAGAAGAATAGGAGTTGTAAAATAGCATGAATTCATAGTTTTGTATCAGCTACAAACGGTTCCGAAGTTACATTGGTACGTACTTATTTACGTCTGTTAGTACTTGTAGAGAATCATAGATCGCCCACCTGAATTCTCAATCCTGAACAATCCTTTCCAGTTACTATTCATCCTTTTCATGTCTGCTTCCAATTCTCGATATAGTATATTCTTCGATCTTCCTCTCTTTTGTTACTCTTCAGGATTCCAAGTTACGGCTTGCCTCGCGATGTAGTTCGATGATTTCCATAATGTATATCCTATCCACTTCCAGTAACTTTCCATAGTTTCCTCTTCAATTGGAAGTTGGTTAATTCTCTCCCATAGTAGGCTATTACTAATGGTATCCAGATATTCAGTATCATGTGTAGACAATTATTTATAAATACTTGCACCTTTTTGATGATGATTGTAATAGTTCTCCAAATTTCAGCTTCATACAGTAGAACTACCTTGACGTTCATATTGGAGATTCTCACTTTAATGTTGACTGACAAATAGTTGTTTTGAGTTCCATATATTCTTCAATTGTAGAAATGTTTCCCTTACTTTACCAATCCTCACTTCTACATCTGCAAATTACATTAGTAACATTATTATTGTAAAAAAAAGTAGTTTTAATTACACACCATAATCAATGAAGTTTAGTTTACAATCAGAAGAGGGGACAACAACAGTGTATGTATGTTGAAAATAAAATCATAAAAACTGATAAGGAGGGGGGAGGGGGAGATGAAATTGTAAATGATAATCAAGAGACAATCAATAAATATAACTTAGCAATAATCAAGGCACCTAATTGGCATCATATTCATCAAACTTAACGTCGTAAATGAATGTCAATAAAATTTAATTATTATAATCGATAAATAGATCATTTCAACTACAAACTTTAAAATAATACAAACTATTTTAACTGGGCAGTATCATCGATGAACACGGTGAATCTGATGCAGATGTGAAGGTACGGATCGGCAAAGCAAGAGCAGCATATCTACAATTGAATAACATCTGGAACTCTAAGCAACTATCTGTCAACCAACACTAAGGTCAGAATTTTCAATACAAATGTCAAGACAGTTCTACTGTATGGGGCGGAAACCTGGAAAACTACGAAATCCATCGTCCAAAAGATACAGGTGTTTATTTACAGTTGTCTACGTAAAATACTTCGGATCCGTTGGCCGGACACTATTAGCAACAACCTACTGTGGGACAGAACAAATCAGATCCCAGTGGAGGAAGAAATCAGGAAGAAGCGCTGGAAGTGGTTAGGACACACATTGAGGAAAGCACCGAACTGCGTCACAAGACAAGCCCTCATATGGAATCCTCAAGGTCGAAGGAAGAGAGGAAGACCAAAGAATACATTACGCCGGGAAATGGAGATAGATATGAGAAAAATGAACAAGAATTGGATGGAACTTGAAAAGAAGGCCCTGGACAGAGTGGAATGGAGAATGCTGGTCGGCGGCCTATGCTCCATTGGGAGTAACAGGCGTAAGTAAGTAAGTAATTTTAACTGTGATAATAAGAAGTTTATCAAACTACCATTCTGTATACAAAGTAATCGATGGTAATGGCCTCTGTACATTGGAGTAGAAGTGATGTTCTCTGCATATATTAACATTCATGTTGTCAAGTGGATGTTTTAATTATCTCTCATCTGTTAACAATTTGTTATTATTTATGATATGTTTAATATCATTTAAAACTTTAATTTCTTCCTTGAATAACTTCATCTTCAACATAAGGAATCGTCTTCTGGTTTCGAATCAAACTTCATTGATTGAGGTATGTTATGAAAATTTTTTACGTATTAATACTACTAATGTAGATTGACGTTGTTTATAGTTGATGAGAAGCCTCAAAATACAATGAATTCATGTTATACTCTAAGTCTTGCTTTTTTCGCTATGGTACAGTCGAGAGTGTGGGGAGAGTCAGCTTTCCCTTTCGAAATACTCTCACATGGACACGTGCATAAAACTACTGCCGGGGAAATCCTACTCACTGCCTTTTAGCACCACGGGTGTTGTTCACGAAATTTAGAAGACGAAAAGCGAATATCCGGTGAGGCTTAAACAAGGTTGATGGATAAGGAAGATTTATCTTGGGCAGTTGGAAAACTCTGATTCTGAACCAATGGTGTACATGGGCTCCAGGATCCTTAGGAAACAAATGGCGTATGAACCTATTGTTGATCACTGGCTATCATCGGACTGTACTCCTTATGTTGCGTCACTACCTTGCGTATCAGATCTCTTGGTCAAAGACTACGGGTGTGTCCCCTCCTAAGAAAACCACGTTCTTCAGTTTGAGCACCTGGGCAGTATCCTAGCCTTCACACAAATCGAATGATTTATGTGGCGCATACCTATTTGGTACCTCCTTGTACCAATGTTTATGTGTTTAAATAAATAAGTAAATTAATTAATTAATTAATTAATTAAGAAACGATTCTTTAGTGAAATTGGTTTCCTTCATCAGTTTTAAACAAAATTAAGAGAAGCAATGCTTGCAAAGTATCGATAGATTTATGTTTCTTGTATTTCGTTTGTTTTCTTCTTACAACTAACATGTATAGCTAATTTAAAAAAGGTTAGTGAAGAATAAATTATTTGACAGGTAGGTTTTTGCAGTTAAAATATTGATCGTGGCTAACAATGAAACTCAGAATGAATGTCACATCTGGGCATACATCTATCCCAGTGTTTGTGTTAATACTGAAACTCAAATCCAGTACTATTTGCTTCCAACGTGGTACTCATTTAGCTACTGATTCCAGATAGCCACTGACATGTACAAATTTGTTCAAGAAATACTTAGGACTTAATGTCAATTGTCGAAGTAATTCGCCCAAGATACCTCTGTACCGAAAGGAGACTGATCAACTTCAGTCTTTAACACCAGAAATAGAAAGATTTAAAACTTTAACAAATGAAATTAAACTGAAGGTATCAGAATGTTGCAGTACACGATCTAATTACGTGATATAACAAATATATATATATAGTAAAAACACTACTTACAAACTAAACTAATCTC